GAGAAATAAGAAGTTTTTGAATTATTATTCTTATTATCACCATCATCACCATTATCATTACTTGTAGCATTAACATTATACCATTATCATTATCGTCACCATTATCATTACCATTTTCATTATCATTGTTTTCATCATTATCATTACACCTACCATCATTATCATTATCAGAATCATTACCACTGTCATGATCATTACCAATATCACTATTATTACTCTCATCTTTATCATCACTATTGACATTATACTTTGATCGTTATCATTATTACCATTAACATTGTTTTTTCATCACCGTTCACTATTCACTATTCACTGCGTTCAACATTTCAAATTTCATTTCATTCTATACCGCGCATCCATAAGGAACCTTGGCCGGCGTTTTCAGTCTCATCTCACTGGGTCTTCATCGGACTTTGTCGCTAGTACAGGGTCTTGAGGAATATCAGCCCAGTTCTTCAAGGACATAAAACACCACCAAATACAATTCTGACCTTTGTCCCCACCTCTATGTAAAAATCAAGATAAATTGTTTTCCATCAACTTAATCCACATTTACCCAGTGTTAAAAAAAAAAACCTATAAATGGTTATATATAAGCCAGACCTTATAGTTTAATTACAACACAAAATAGTCAGCAACCGACGTGATGGCAGCGTGGCCCACAGCCTGGGACTACCACACTCCTCCGCCAGTCGTCGCGCCTCCGCTGAAAGACCATTCGCCTCGCTTAGGCCTACCAGGGCCTACCAAGAGAGCAACCGCAGCTGGCTACACCACAGACGACGCTGACATCATGTCCCCGAAGAGACTTGTTACACTGATTAACGATTTCCAAACCAGCAAATGAGATGGCATGGCGCTTGTATTGCTATTATCAGCTATATTATCATTACTATTATTGTTATCATTATTACTATTATCATTATCATTTTTCGTTACTACCTTTTTCATTATTTTTTCTGTACAACCATTATCATCATTTTTTTCATTATCATTATCATTATTTTCGTTATTGTTACTATGATTATCCTTGCTATTATTTTTTTCACTCTTATTATTTTCACTATAAATATCATTCTTTTATTATCATCTTTTTTATCATCATCATTATTATCATCTTTATGGTTCTTGTTGTTATTACTATTGTCATTATCATTGATATTATTAGTAGCAATATTATCATGATTATCATTATTGTTGTTAATGTTATAATAATCATCATTACCATTATCACTAATGTCACATAATGTTAAATTTTAAGTATCTAAAAAATGAAGTTCTATGTAACAAGGGCATGAAAAGATGTTTAACCCATTAGGCCATTACTGTGTTGATAAGAATTAGTATTATTTTTTTTCAAGGTAAAAAAATCAGACATTCCTGACCATGTAGATTGGCCTCCTACAAGGTGAAGGTGGAAGGTGGAAAAAAGGCGAGGAAAGAGGAGAGAGAGAGAGAAGGAGGGAAGAAAGAGGAGAGGGAGAGAGAGAGGAAAGAGGAGACGGAGAGAGAGAGAGAGGAAAGAGGAGATTCCACCTTCTCTTACAAAGAAGGTGGAATACAGGGATATATATGAAAAAGAGATAAATAAAACTGAAAAGAGCAAGATTTGCAGACAACACTGAGCATCTGAGTGGGTCTGCAGGCTTGGAGAATGAAAAGCCAAATCTTGCCATTCTACTCTCTCAGCCAAAGACCAACAGGTATTTATGAATCTCCGTCTCGGTCTTCTCATGGATTCAGCTGAAAGGTCTGGCATTCCAGGTGCTGCGGTTTTCAAAAATATCGTCTTTGGCTGAAAGTCCTGTCATTCTACTTGCAAGATCTCGTCATTTGTCCAGAAAGAGGAGTGAGTCTGTTTGCATGATTTAGAAGATTTAGAGATTGTATATGCGTTACTGATTGCAGTGAAATCTTTACTGAACGACCACAGGATCTGACAGCCCGTACGCAAGCATGGTCAAGTTATAAGAATAACAATACCTGTAAATATTGGATAGGAATCAAGCCTGCTGCTGCAGCTTTGTTCCTCTCTCGTGGTTGGGAGGCAGAGGCTGCGACAAACAAACAGTGGACTCTGGACTTTTTAAAGAATATTACTATGGGTGACTGTATTATGGCCGACCGAGGATATCTTAGTGAAGATGAGCTTCATGGAAGAGGTGCAGTCTCGAAAATCCCACGTTTCACGAGAGGGACGAACCAGTGACCAGCGAAAGAGGTTGATGAGTCAAGCCAATTGGCCGATGTTAGAACTGACGTCGAAAAGGTTATTGGCCGTTCGAAGGACTCTCGACTCTTGCAAACAGTCATCCCAGTTACACAAGTTGAGTTGTTGGATAATGTTATGACCGCGATATGTGGAGCAACTAACCTGCTGTCAGTCAGTAAGACTATACTATATTTCTTTGCAGTATCTTTTCATTATTTTTTCATTAATTCAGTTGTAAATACGAAAGCTAATAGTTTCTGTACATAACCATAATATTAAAATCTTTCATTTAAAAAAAGTGATAAACTATAAAAAAAAAAAAAGGATCCACCAATCCGGTTATCTTATATCATAACAAAATTTATCTTCATATAAAAGTAAGAAATAATAATCCTCCCCAACCCTGCGTGGCCCTCCTCCTCCCCAACCCCTGCGTCGCCCCTCCTCCTCCTCCTCCCCAACCCCTGCGTCGCCCTCCTCCCTCCTCCTCCCCAACCCCTGCGTCGCCCTCCTCCTCCTCCTCCTTCTCCTCCCTCCTCCCCCAACCCCTGCGTCGCCCCTCCTCTTCCTCCCCCCCAACCCTGCGTCGCCCTCCTCCTCCTCCTCCCCAACCCTGCGTCGCCCTCCTCTTCCTCCTCCTCCCCAACCCTGCGTCGCCCTCCTCCTCCTCCTCCCAAACCCTGCGTCGCCCCTCCTCTTCCTCCTCCTCCCAACCCCTGCGTCGCCCTCCTCCTCCTCCTCCTCCCCAACCCTGCGTCGCCCTCCTCTTCCTCCTCCTCCCCAACCCCTGCGTCGCCCTCCTCTTCCTCTCCTCCCCAACCCCTGCGTCGCCCTCCTCCTCCTCCTCCCCAACCCCTGCGTCGCCCCTCCTCCTCCTCCCCAACCCTGCGTCGCCCTCCTCTTCCTCCTCCTCCCCAACCCCTGCGTCGCCCTCCTCTCCTCCTCCTCCCCAACCCCTGCGTCGCCTCCTCTTCCTCCTCCTCCCCAACCCCTGCGTCGCCCTCCTCTTCCTCCTCCTCCCAACCCCTGCGTCGCCCTCCTCTTCCTCTCCTCCCCAACCCCTGCGTCGCCCTCCTCTTCCTCCTCTCCCAACCCTGCGTCGCCCTCCTCCTCCTCCTCCAACCCCTGCGTCGCCCTCCTCCCTCTCCTCCCCAACCCCTGCGTCGCCCTCCGCCTCCTCCTCCCCAACCCCTGCTCCTTCCTCCTCCTCCCAACCCCTGCGTCGCCTCCTCTTCCTCCTCCTCCCCAACCCCTGCGTCGCCCTTCTCTTCCTCCTCCTCCCCAACCCCTGCGTCGCCCTCCTCCTCCTCCCCAACCCCTGCGTCGCCCTCCTCTTCCTCCTCCCCAACCCCTGCGTCGCCCTCCTCTTCCTCCTCCTCCCAACCCCTGCGTCGCCCTCCTTCCTCCTCCCCAACCCTGCGTCGCCCTCCTCTTCAACCCCTGCGTCGCCAGCTCGCTGAGTAGGGCTGAAGGGCGTGACCCGCCTCGGCAATGACACGGTTTTTCTTCCTTTTCTTCTTAATTCTGTGCATATTGTTTCCTCTCTGAACTCCACAGTGTTCCGACTGACGCGTCCGAAGATGTTGGGGTCTGGAAAATGACGTCCTTTTGAGCAGGAATTATGAAATGAGATCACCGTCAATTTTGGAATAGCACTTATTTTTACGGCTTCTAACGGGACGTCGGTTAGGGATCACTGCTTCACACACACACATACACACACACACACACACCACACACACACACACACACACACACATAAAAAAAACAGACACGAGCATAACATTCAAACACAAATAAACGCTAACAAACATAGACAAAGAAACATCACGTCCAGACAGAGACAAAGAAACAGACAAAAACACACACAAACAAATTCAAACATACACAAATACTAGCGTATACTAATAAACATGAGATAAGAGCCTTTATCTTTTTATCAGTCGCCTCCTCGGGTAGACAGCAAGGACACATTACAACACTCACCTTTACTTCGAAGGAAAACTCCATTTATGACTATGTGTATTCCATCGAACACCAATATCCTTTTTGCACAATTTTCAAGAAAAGTCTGCAAAGGAGATGAGTGAGCGGCTGGACTTGGTCACGTGACAAACAGGACTCTCGTCCTCCCCAACCCCTGCGTAAATGAGGGAGTGAATGAGTGGATGAGAGACATATATAGAGAAAATGAGGGAGAGACAGACATAAACAGAGAGAGACAGGAGTAAGATCGAGTAAGAGAGAGAGAAAACTGAGTAAATAAAGGAAAGAGAAAACAGTTGCTGAATGAGTGAAAGGCACAGAGAGTAATCATCTGAGTGAATGCGAGATAGTAGCTTAGGGAGTAAGGGACGGTGAGAAAGAGCAACTGAGACATGAAGAAAATTGATTTAGAGAGTGTAACTGAGAGAGAAAGAAAAGTTATTTGAGTGAGTGAGCCAGAGAGAGCAAGTGAATGAATGAGAGAGAGAAATAGAGAATAAGTTTATGAGTCACATGCCGTAGACAGTGATTAACTGCGTGCGAAAGAAATAGTAACTGAGTGAGAAACAGGCAAAGATGAGTGAGGGAGAGACCGAGAGAGGTAGAGTAACTGATTGCGTGAGAGACTGAGGGAGAGACGGAGAGAGATAGAGTGAGTGAGAGTAACTGAGTGAGTGTAAGTAATAGATCTAGAGAGAGAGAGACATCATACGTGAGAGAGGCAGAGAGAGAGAAAAATGAGAGTGAGAGTACCTGAGCGCATCTCGGAGTAAACTCAGTCATCGCCGTGTCTCCAGTGAACGCAGGCACAGTTCGAGCGGGATTGCCAGGCGGGATAGCTTCCAAGGGCAAACGGGTGCGCCCCTTGCTAAGGGGGCACTCAGGTGCTCCGCCGGTCTCCTGTGTCCCTAGGAAATAGCTGGCTCGCTTACGACAAGAAATAAAAGACACATGGCTGTCCAAAACGGAAAAGAGTCAACTAAAGATGATAATAATGATGATAGAGAGACCTCCAGCTTTCGTTAATGACGTAGGAGGAAACACGGCCAGGACGGGCAAGCAGGAGGCTTTGCTCATAACGGGGCAGGCAAATGCGTGCATAGCGTTGCATAGCTTTGTAAAGGGTTTGTGTGTGTCGTAAGGGCGTGAGCGAGGCTAGCTACCCCGTTTGCGTTATCTGCGGAGCGAAGGTCGGCGATAAGAGGAGGCAGCAGGGCGGCGCCGGCCGCAGCGAGCTCACTCGCAACCCGCAGCGCCAACTGCCGAAGGGACACCGCCAACGCTCCAACAGCAACACCGCAACCGACGCCCCGACCGCTACGATGGCTTCCCTTTACAGCAACGACCGCCTCGTAAGTAGCCCTTGGCGCAGCGTGCTCAGGACTGTAACCACTCTCTGGTGGCTGCGAGTTGAACAGCGACGCGGGGAAGGCATTTCTTCCGATGACCTTCGGGATCGTCTCGTCCAGAAGAGCCAGTGTCTGTGCCACTGTGGCCTCACCGGGTACTTTGGGAACTCTTACAGTTGACTAGTTATTGGGTGTTTCCAAAGAAGGAGAAGGGACAGACAGAGAGAGAGTGTGTGTGTGCGTATGCATTGGTATGTATCTCTACATGTTGTTAATTCATTCATTTCTTTTCCACTATATCATCATGCTTTCAGTCAGTCATTACCAAAGGAAAGTGTCGAGAAGATGAGACAACCATGATATCACATCTTAGGAAGTGGTGTCGGGGATGCAGTGGGAAGGGGGGATGTGTAGCGAGAAAGTGGTACAATGGTGTAGTGGGTACGACAGTGGTGTAGTGTATGGAGCAGTGGTGTAGTGTATGGGGCAGTGGTGTAGTGTATGGGGCAGTGGTGTAGTGTATTGGGCAGTGGTGTAGTGTATTGGGCATTGGTGTGGTGGATGAGGCACTGGTGTAGTGGATGGGGTTCTGGCAGACAGACAGAGAGAGAGAGAGAGAGAGAGAGAGAGAGAGAGAGAGAGAGAGAGAGAGAGAGAACGAATCCCCATCGCCACCACCATCCCCTCGGTCCGTGTGGTTCCTCCCTTCCTGAGAGGATCCTGCCTCCTCTTCCTCCGTGCGATGAGAGCGCGCGCGCCTGGTGCCCCGAGTCCGCCTCCGATGAAGATCGAGTCGCCTTCCCTTTCAGATGGCTCTGGTCCGCGCCGGCGACGCAGAAGGGCTGCGGGCCGCCCTCGCCGCCCTCGCCGCCGACGCCCGCGCCGACTTCCTCCGTGGTAAGCATAAGGGAGCGACGCTGTCCAGATGGGTCATGGGCGGAACGCTCCTGTATGTGCAGGCAGTCATTCAGACACAGAGACAGACAGGCAGGGAAAAGCACACAAACACTCAAAAACACGCTCGCCCGCACGTACACACACACAAAAACAAAAAACACACACAAACAAATACACACACAATACACTCACAAACACACACACACACACCACACACAACACACACACACACACACACAACACACACACACACATATATATATATAATATATATATATGTATATATATATATATGTATATATATATATATATATACATATATATGTATATATATATATATATATATATATATATATATATATGCATATATAAACATATACATATATATCACATAAGATTGTGATCTTGCCATAATTATCGTTGATGTCACCAAAAAATCTGAGGCCGCTATTACTATCTATATTTTCTTTTTTTTTTAATATTAAGACCGGCTTTGATTTTCCTTTCTAAAGTTTTGTTAGTTCACCTATATTTAAATCAATTACTAACGCTGATACTTTTTCAGTGTATCTTTACTTCCTACTGCTTTCGTTCTTATTATTATCATTTCATAATTCTTATCATAATTATTCTTAGCTTATCATTTAGTTGATTGTTTTACTATATTTGTTACTATTATTCGCATCATTATTCATAATCATTATTATTTTCATTGTTCTTATTGTTATTGTTTTCGTCATTATTCTTGCTCTGTTATTTCTTATTCCTCTCCCACTTCTTTTTTTTTTTTCTCTCCTATTCCTCTCTCTGTCTTCCTAATTTTCTTTCTTTTCTTCGTATTTCTCTTCTTTATGCTGAGCCCCCTCTCACATATTCCTCTCTCTCTCCTCTTCCCCAGTTTTTCTCTTTCTCTCCTCGCCCTCCCTTCCTCTCTTTCTCTTCTTCCTCCCTTCCTCACTCTATCCCCTTCCCGTTCATTTCTCTCCCCCTTTCCTTCCTTTCTATCTCTTCTTTATCCCTTCTTTCTTCTTCTCCTTCTCTTTTCTCTTCTTACCTCCCTCTTTTGCTCTCTTTCCTTTTCCTATTCCTCTTTCCACTTCTTATCCTCACAATTCCCCTCTCTTATTCCTATTCTTCCTTCCATCTTTCGCCCTCTTCTCCCTTCCTTTTCTTGTTCTTCCTACTACGTCACTACCTCACCTCTTTTTTTTCTCTTTATCTTTGCTACCTCCTTTCCTTTCTTCTTAATTTTCTCCCTTTTAACTCAACCTTTCTCACTCTTTTTCCTCTTCCTCCTTTCCTCTCTTTCTGTTCTTCATGTTTTCTCCTCTCCTCTCTCTCTTTCCTTTTCCTTTTCCACTATTACCTACTCCCTTCTTCTCCCCCCCCATTATCATTCTCTCCTCTTCCCTTTCCTGTTTCCTTCTCTCCCTCCGCTGCTCCTCCTCTGCCAAGGACACGCGTGGCGAGGCGACAGCAGCGCTACTGAAGGCGTCGCGCTCCACGAATCCGGTTCTGTCGCTCTTGTCGCTGCGTCGTTGTGCAGAGAATCCTTCTCTTGAAGTTTCCCCTTATCTTTCGTTTATGATATATAGTTTGATTTTTATTTATTTTTTATGATAATGATGATTATTGTTATTGTTATTGTTGTTATTACAGTTATTTTTGTTGTTTTATGAATATTCTTATTATCATTAATGTTACTATAATTATTGTTATTATCATTGACATTATAATTATCATCATTATCATTGTCATTATTATTATGTCTAATCTTATTTATCATCATCCTTATCTATCGTTGCTATTACAATTGACATTGCTATCAGTATTATCCTTATTGATTTCATTATTATTATAATTTTGATAATTATTTTTCTTTATTTATGATGATGATTATCATTGCCATTGTTATTATTATATCTATTGCTATTAGCAGTATTTTTTTACGCTATTATAATCATGAAAATCATTAATATCATATCTTTGTTATTATTATTATCATTGTCATTATTATGATTATCCTTATTATGTTCATCATTATTATCATTACTTTCATTATTTTATCACTAGTGTTATTATGTTTTTTTATTGTCATTGTTTTTGTCATATGATATCTTTTTTATGAATGTTTTAATCATTCTTGGTATAATCATTTATAGTTTTACTTTTATAACTCTTGTTGCTCGTGTTATTGTTATTTCTATTATTTACAAATACTAGTTCAGTTGAAATAAAAAGACCATAATGATAGCTATTTTCCTCTACTTTGCTCTCTCTCTGTCTTTTACTTTTTCCTTGTTTCTTCACTCTATTCGTTATCTTCCTCTTCCCTGTCTCTCGTTTTTTTTTTCTTTCTTGTCCTCGTCCTTTTACTCTCCTTCTCTTTTCTTCTTTCTAATTCTCTGTATCTCTCTTTCTTCTCTGTTTCTCTAGCTCACCCTTATTCTACTGTCTTTCCTCTTCCAGCTTTCCCGTCTCTCACTTCCTTCCTTCCACTCTCTCTCCTCTTCTTTCCTGTACCTCACTTCCTCCTCCCCACTCTTTCCTCTACCTTTTTCTCTCCCTTTCCCCACTTTCTCCCCACCATCCCCTCACTATCATGTGTTCAGCTCTTTCTCTCACCCCCCCACCCCTTTCTCCTCTTCATCTTTTTTGTCTTTCTCTACTCCAATCTCATTTTCCTTCCTTACATCTTTTCTCTGTCCTCTTTCTCCTTGTCTCATCTTTTTTTATTTTCTCTCTTCCTTCCTTCATCTCAATTCCTTTACTGACATTTTTTTCTCTTTTCTCTTTCTTCCTCTTTTTCTCTCCATCACTCCTTTCACTCTTTCCCCTTCTTCTTTTTCCATTCTTCTTTCTCTTTCTTACTCCTTTTTCTCCATTCCTTTTCCCTCTTCCTTCTCTCCAACTTTCTGCTCTTCTTTAATCCCTTTTCCTCATTCTTCTCCGTGTCTCCTCCGCTCTTCGTTCTTCCCTTCACTCTTTCCTCTGTCTCCATTCCCTCCTTCTCACTGTTATTCTCTCTTTATCCCTTCTTTTCTTTTCCATTCCTTCCTCCCCCTTTCTAGTTCTCACTCTTCCTTACTTCCTCCTTACTATGATGCCCATCCCCCTTTTCATCCTCCCTTTCGCTTCCATTTCCATCCTCATTCCCACCACCCATCAACACGACGGTTGACACAAGCTTCTTCCTCCCGCAGACAGACCGCCCTTCACTTCGCTGCCAGAACGGACACCTTTCTGTCGTCCAATTCCTGGCGGAGAACGGCGGCGACCTCAACGCCAGAGACTGGTAAGTCGACAGGAGCGACATTTCTCTTCTTACTGTCATCATTGATTGTATTGTTATTATCTTTAAAGTCATTATTATTATTCTTTGTCATATTCATAGAAATTAACAATTGTAATGATGATAATAGGAATAATAATAATAATAATAATAATAATAATAATAATAAAAGTAATAACAATAATAATGTTAATGGAATGATGGTAATAAAAAAATAAAAAAGAAAACAGAAACATAAAGAAGAATAAAAGTTAGAAAATAAAAAAATATATATATATACTAAAGAGAATGCACAAATAAAACACAAAAACAATAAAAAATATGAAGATAAATGAAGTAGCAAAAGAAGAAAGATGATAATAAAAGAAAATCAAACAATAATAATGATAATAATGATAACGCTTCGGTAAGGCAACAGGAGCAACAATTCTATTCTTGCAATTGTTTTTGGTTATATTCTTGTTTTTTATCACTATTATTATTCTTTATCATTAAAATAGTAATAAAAATAATCATGAAAGTATCATAATAAGGATAATATCAATAATATCATTATCATTATTGTTATTATTATTAACGACTTTAAAATTTCTATTGTTATAATTATTCTTATTGTTATTATCATTATCATTGTTGCAATCAGTTTCTTTGTCCATTGGTTTGTCTGTCGGTTAACAGGATAACTCAAAAAGTCATGGATAGATTTTTATTGATTTATTTATTTATTGATTTATTACCAGTTTGTCAGCCATGGGGGGGGGGATGGTCACAGGGAGTTCATGATTTTCAAGGACGATCATATGTACGTAAACACACGCACATGAGGTTAACCATTTTGACCATCCTCATTTAGTAGGCCTACATCCATCTTTCCTCTTTGTTTACTTTTCTTATCCACTTTCTCTCCATTTCTCTTCTTTTGAATCTCTCACCCCTCCCACCCCTTTCTCCTCTTCTCTTTTTTGTCTTTCTCTACTCTCCCTCTCATTTTGCTTCCTTACATCTTTTTCTCTGTCTTGACTCTTCTTCTCTATTTCTCTCTTCCTTCCTTCATCTCTTATTCCTTTACTGTTTTTTTTCTTTTCTCTTTTTCTTCCTTTTTTTTCTCCATCACTCTCTTCTCTACCCCCTTTCACTCTGTCCCCTTCTTCTTTTTTCTATTCTTATTTCTCTTTCTTACTCCCTTTTTCTCCCATTCCTTTTTCCTTCTTCCTTCTTTTCTCCTACTTTCTGCTCTTCTTTAATCCCTTTTCCTCATTCTTCTCCGTGTCTCCTCCGCTCTTCGTTCTTCCCTTCACTCTTTCCTCTCTCCATTCCCTCCCTCTCACTGTTATTCTCTCTTTATCCCTTCTTTTCTTTTCCATTCTTTCATCTTCCTTCCTAGTTCTCAGCTCTTCCTTATTTCCTCCTTACTATGATGCCCATTTTCATAGAAAGTGATAATTGTAATAATAATTATGATAGTAATGATAATGATGATAAAAAAATAATGGAATAATAATGATAATAATAAAGATAAAAAAATAAACATAAGAATAAAAAATTAAAAACGAAACAAACTAAAACAGAGTAACAATGAAAACAAAACAATAAATATGCGAAAATGATCAATGAAGAAACATAAGAAAATAACTGAAGATAAAGATAACAAAGAACAAAATAATAATGATAAAGATGCTTTGGTAAGCAACAGGAACAATTCTTTTCTTACAGTTATTAGTTGTATCATTGTTTGTTTGTTTGTTTTTTTTTTTTTTTATCAATACTGTTGTATATCATTGTCCTTAGAATAGTAATGATAATAGTGAAAGTAAATGTCCTAATAAAGGCAATAATATATATAAAAAATATTATCATTATTATTATAATAATTATTAGTATTATCATTGTTGTCACTTATTATTATTGTTACAATTATCATTATTATAATCATTATCAATATTGCTTTCTCAACATAATAGTATTAAGATCCTCCTCATCCCATGAGACACACAAGCAGTTCAATCGAAATGGATTTTTCTTCTCCATTTCATTTTGCGATTCGTGGAACCAAGCAGTGTCTCGAGAGGAAATAGTCTCTCCGGAAAATTGACTCATTGGCACCTTTCGCCATGGTCCCGCGCTCTTAGTGAGAGAAAAAGTGGTTTGCATGCCAGTATTTTGCATATTGAGGGCACCCCGCGACTGTTCTCCACACATCCGATGATGTTTATGATAACTAGTGTTTTGAGCTGTTATATTCTGTGCTTTGAACGTCATTTTTGTCTCAGTCAAAGCGTGCGCTGTTGGGGGAGGTTGCCAATTAGTCAGTTTCCCAGAGCCAATATTTGATCTCGAGATTTATTATGTTTGACAAAATCGCCAAATGATCTGAGTGCGTGGAGAGAGAGTGAGTGAGTGAGTAAGTGAGAGAGAGAGAGAGGGAGAAGGAGAGAGAGATAGAGAGAGGAAGAGGTGGAAAAAGAAAAAGAAAAAAGAGAATACGATGAAGGGAGAGAGGGGGTGTAATAAGAGATGGGAAGGAAGAGGAGAGTGAGAGTGTAAAAGGAGGAACAAGAGAGACACAGAGAGAAGAGAGCAAATGGAAAGAGTGGGAGATGGGAGATGGAGCAAGAAAGAAAGAGGGGGAGAAAAAAAAAAGAGTAAGGAAGAGGAGACACAGTATACTCATATCTTGCTATCTATATGTATATATAGATGTTTATATATGTATTTGTGTGTGTATATATAATATATATATATATATATATGGGGAGTGTGTGCATATACATACATACAGAGATAAAGAAAAGTTTAGTTTTAGCTTTCCTTGGATATGAACCAAATTGTTTGACACCATGGAACAAATAAATATCTTTGCTGTGTATCCTACCGTAATCTAACCTATCTAAGGAATAGGCCGGGTTGCCATCCACTGCAGCGCGTGGGGATCGAATGCTGGTCCGCCAAGATTGCTTAAAGAGAAGAGAGAGAGATAGAGAAGAGAGGGGAAGGGGAGGGAGAGAGATGAGAGAGAGAGAAGAAGAGGAAGTGAAGAAGCAAACGAGGAGATACGAGAGCAGAGACGCTACTGAAGGCGTTGCGGCTCCACGAATCCTGTTCCTGGTCTCTTTGTCGCTCGCGTCGCTGTGCAGCGAATCCTTCTCTTGAAGTTTCCCCGAAAG